ATGTAGGAATTTAAGTTAATGGATGTGAGTTTCAGGCTCCTCCATACCGTGGCAGGTCATTTATTTAGAGTATAAGCTCTAAATGCTATGGCATTGCTTCTGCCTGGTGCAAAAGGGTCCAGTACTAAAATGGGACYTTACTGTGCAGAGTTACTCCTTCTGCAAATAGGTCACGACCAGCCATTTTCACATTAAAAAAAATCAGTGCTCTGGAACAAAACTCTTTCTACTGTGCCGTTCAGAAAGTGACATAACAAGGAGACAGTCTGATGAGTCACAAAAAAGCAAACAAGATAACAAGCAGTAACAGTGCAGGCATTTCCAGGGAAGGACAGCCAGGGCATTTCCAGGAAGAAGGCAGTCCCAGCCTGAGCCTTAGCAGAGACACCATTAGGGCTTCTGAATAGCACTGATTGCTGATGCCCCAGCTGCAGGAGGGGCAGCACAACACAAATAAGATGTTACAGGAAATACAGGATCTCTCACGTTGGAGAAATCTCAGAAGGGCCAGTATGATAACCCTGCAAAAGCAAAAGCTGTTCTTCACAGCTCTGGTAAATAACAGCTGCAGAAAAAGGGCCACTTAAGCCTAAAGACCACTGATTGCACAAGAAAAAATGGATGTGAAAATAATGAGGCTAAAAATCAGATGAAGGGTGGGTTTTTTTCCTTATAGAATTGAGATTTTGGAAAAGCCCCAAATAAGCATAAAAAGCAAAGAAAAAAATAAGCCCTTTCAAGACAGAATTCCAAAGATTTACTTTAGGATTTATGATGAAATGATTCATTTGTTCTTTCCGACACTAAGCCACAAGCAGCAGAGCAGATCTGAACTCGTGCCTCTCGCTCCAGCAAGGTCATGGGGGCTGTTCCTCRGCTGCAGCAGCAGCAGTGACAAGGACTCATGTCCCTACAAGAGCTCCTGGGCTTATGAACTCCTGGCTCCTCATGGTGAGCTCAGCATTCCACATCAGGACCAGCCTGCAGCTGCTCATCCGCTGATACTGAGGTTCTTCCTGTGAGAGAGGATGACAGCTGAGCTGAGTGTGCCAACACTGGTGGCACCCACACACAGAACCAGGACACAGTAGCCCCTCAGTGAATACAACTCACACCCAGGTAACCCCCAGGCTCCCTGGGGAATACCTGAGTCTGCCCTTGGAAGGGATAACCAAAGCCAATTTTTTTTGTCTGGGCAGGGTCAAGAATTCAAAAGCCTATGYTGGCCCTTACAGCCCTAAGGTAAGCATAGTAAAGAGTAATTACATGGAGGTAATTGCTACAAAACTTGAACATGGACATTTCCCAGCCTGAAGAGTTTATATTTTGTTTTGTTAATAAAATCTCCATGCACAACTGAGCTGTTATACATTTTCCCGGGACTATTATTTTATATCTTTTTGTGTACTACCAACAGAGCTGATTTTAAGTAAAAATGGTAAATCTTTTCTTTAATACTTGTCCTTTCACACCAGTCTTCACAAAACTGAAAGTGCAGCATGAAATAAATTCTATAGTATCTACTTGAGGAGAAGAGCAAGTGATAAATTACTTGCCTAGGAGGAGATGATGTTAATCAAAATGACTTCAGGGTGTAGTGTTTGGAAGTTGTGTTGAGTAATAAATAACAGGTGAAGGGAAGGAGATTTTTCCTTTCGAAATCCTAAATTGAAGCCTATTCAACAAGATGAAGCAAAATTAACCAAGTTGTTACAGAAAAAAAATCCTTATGAGGAGAGGGTGTAAATTAAAGCCTTCAAATCAAAATCAGGATGTAAAGATTGCTTTGCATTTATTTTCATAACGATAAATGACACAGTTTGGTCTCTTACACAATTTGTTTCCAGCAACATGAATGGCAGGAGTTGAATGCAGCTCTGCTGTCCCCAGAAAGTGACAGCTACGAGCACTACCTGATTAAATTAAGSTTTTACTTTGCATTCTCAGACTCTCCTTTCCAGATTAATTTGTTTTACAAGAAACAATTTCATCCACTGCTGAGCCATACTGCCAAGGAATGCGTGCTCATAACTCTTACAGAGGGCATGACAAGAGACTTGTCCTACAGAGCTCCAGAGGGAGGAGAACTGCTCCCGAAATAAGAGTTTGCATGTGTGACCACACATGCACATTGGGGACAGAATGAACTCTTGCTTGTTTCTGCTGCTCGGGGCCTTTCTGTAGAAGGTTTTTAATTGTACTTCACAGCACAATCTTTGGAATACAGAAYACATGCAGTAGCTTGGTATGAATTTCTGGTTAAGGGTTAGGATTTTTTGAAGAGGAGTGAATACTAGAGTGGGGAGAGGGAGCTCCCATTTCAATATGGTCTTTCCCTCCCTATCCACCTATCACTAATCCATGGGAAACCCYAGCACTGCAGCATCCTCACCCCAGTCAGTAGAGAACAGGAAGAATAGGAAAGTGAAAGCTTTCATAAAGTTGAAATTCACTGCCATAAGGAAGAGAATCATGGGCCCCCAGTGGCTTCCTGCTTTTTCCCCCGCAGTGTTCATTGAGAGTGCACTACAGAGTGTGCATGTTCAGCAAAGAAATTGAGGGTGAGGGGGGATGGGAAGGRAAAGTGAGCAAGATCAATTTTTACATCTTTATCCTTTTCTGTGGCTGATAAAACACTGCTCTGCTCAGAAGATACACTCGTACATTTTCAGTTTAGATCTGTATACCAGGAAATAAGACTCCCATTACATCCTCTGGAGATTATTCCAGGGCTAAAGAGATTTCATACTCTAAGAGGTCCCAGAAATATTCTGACTATGTGTTTTCTTTGTCAGCCACATCCTAATGTGGTACTAGATAAGCCCACTGCCTCCAGGCTATTTACACTCCTCAGAGAACTGAGGATGGTTATGCCATATAGCCAGTTAGAAGGATCAAGTTCTTTTAATCTTTTCTCACATCCATTCTGACACCAAAAAGTGTTTGTATTTCTTGCCCAAATATTGGGATGGGTTTCATTGGATGAGGTCCCCCTATTGTCTGCAGAATAGCAGGTGTGCTCTCACCTGGGTCAGGGTGTAAACGAGCCCATCCAAGTGCTTTGATTCTCTTGCACACAAAAACCCCAAACTGCAAGTTTTGTTTTCAAGACTACAGCAGCAAGAACTCCAGGAGGTCTTGTCTGTGCTGTCTTCATCAGCCTGATTTTCTAACATCAGTGGAAATAGTTTCAGTCACTTGCAGGGTCTTGGATCAAGTCCCAAATCTTAAAGAATAAAAGCAGGGATAAAATAAGGCATGAACTTCAACTGCAGCTGCCTGGAATTCYTGCCTTGAAGTGGGAACGGAACAACACTGAGGGTAGGCGGAAGGGTTTTTCAAATTAAAAATGGGACCAAGAGCATGTTTTAATTTTCTAATTCAAAAAAAGTGCTTTGGAAAATATTCTGTGAAACTGTTTTGAATTAACTTATTTATTCAGTCAAGGGAACATTCCACTGACATTCACCAGAAGAATGGTGTCTCTACACAACTTCTCACGCTGCCTCCCTTCTAACTTAAAGAAAATCTAAGCAGAATAATGTGAGGACAGTCAGCCCTTTCAGCTATTTCAAAGATATAAACCACCAGAAAGTTGCAGAGTGTGTAACACCTTTATCCTGACTGGGAGAAAATCAGCTCCCGACTTCATCGAGTCAAGGCTTTGCACAGGGAAGCTCCCCAAGTGCTACCAGAGCAAGAGAACATGTACATTGTCTATAATGCAAAAAAACACTCAACCAAATCCCATGTCATGCATATCCAGCTAGAGGAGAGCCTGGTTCCATGTGTAACGTGTGCTTTATATTCCATGGCTGCCATCCAGCCCACTCTTTTCATGTCAAAGTTACACACTTTCTGACCAGAAAGTTACACACTCAGAATTCACCCCCACATCCTTCTTGTTCACACAATGTCTTACAACTACTCTTTATTGCCATGACAGCCTGGGACTGACCTCAGAGATCTGGCGTATCACAAGGCTTGTATACTTGTTTTTTGATTGGGCCATTAATCTTTTGCTGTGTGACTAATTCTTCTAAAATCAAAACAATGCAAGGCACACATCAAAGAAAAGCCATCTCTCTGTCTCCCCAGATGTTTCACTAATRCACAGCCTTGTACAGTTACAATATGACTAAGAAGAAGGAAAAGGCTTCTTTTTTTCTCCTCTTATCTTCAAAATGTTCCAATCAGTAGAGCTGAACAAAAAGTAAAAAGTGAACTGAAAAGGACATTTTGCATTTTTAAATAACAAACCAAACAAACATTGCACCGCTTCCTTTGTGAATCTTACAGAAGAGCTCATCCTTAGCCCACGCTGCCTGTTTCTTAAAAAACAAAGACAAGCAGAACTAGCTGCAGGCAATGAAGTACGTTAGCATTTGAATTCATGTTTGTATACCCTCTGAAGAAAAAAACTCTTAAAAGCAACCTAAGGAACTTCCTAAAATGTATTAAGGCAACWTTCATTTGAGACTTGAAGATTCCTGATGTCTTTGTAGTTCCTTAAAAACAAACTGGGAAATGCTAAAAAAACACCCCACARATTGCTGCCAATTTCAAAACAGGATGTTTTTGTTTTTGAGGACTGTAATTAGGACCAGCGACCTTGAAAATATAAACAAACCATCCATTACCTCTTCTCTTCTAATTATTTTTGCAAATATTTCTTTTTTCCTCTTTCTAAACTTGTCTGTGTGAGTAGTTTAGTGTTCATACTCAGGCAAAGACCAGAACTTCCACAGGACTAAATGTGCTAGCACCCAATGTCACCAGCTAGYTCAAGGGGAAAGGAGGTGAGGAGAAGGAGGAAGAAAGTATTTGATATAAGACAGAAAAGGCACCCCTACAAGAAATGCCTTACAGGTAGTGCTGCAGAAAAACCCATTATCAGAAGAAAATCTAGGAAAGTCTCCTTAGACAGCAAGAAGGGAGTTCTGGAGCTTTCCCAACACCTAATCCTGCAGTCAGAACCTGACACCCAAGTCCTTCCTTACCTTCTGGTGTCCAAATTCATTCAATACTGTGCCCAGCTTCTTTGTGTTGCTGTGCAGTTTGTGAGCAGCAATGGCTGGGTTGGGGTCCCTCCAGTCAATGGAGAGGCGATGGTACCAGAGGTGCCTCCCCTCCTGAACGTGTGCTGCCTTGATGCTGGGGTCGAAGCGATGAACCTCACACCCACTGTTGGCCATGCTGACCTCAAACTGGTTGTCATCGTTGCCTAGCCTACGGAAAAAAAAGAAAATAATAAAAAAAGTGTAACTATTAATGCAACAAAAAAGAACTATTAGTGAGTAGGACAAGGATGAACTCATGTCACCAGAAAATTCAAGCTCAATGCAACGTGATTAGAATGAATAGCTCCGTCCAAGGTAAAAACTAAACCACTTTTAGCCAGGCTGATAACTTTCCCAAAGAGCTTTTTCTTGACTCAGAAGTTGACAAAATTTATATGCAAGTAAATTAAATATTGGAATCTTTGTGCGGTCATTATTCATATTTTATGTTTATATATATTTCTCTATTTTCAATTTACTTTTTTTCTTACAAGTTTACAATACTTTCCTTTGTCCCTGCCGCACAAACTTCCAATAATCAAGACATAAGCAGAAGAGAAAATACATTTAAGATTTGAACAACACTGCTTTGTAAAAATCTGGCATATTTCACACCATGTCCGTCACCTGTTACAAACAGGACCCACAATGASCAATATATGGATAAGACACAAGAACCAAATGCCTCTTTCTGTGGACAGGAAGACACAGATTTTAAAAAGCATATTTAAAAAGAAGCACTTTACAACAGTAGCAGGGYTGTTATAGAAACTTAAGAGAAAGACTTCTGCTACTTTGGTGAGATCCCAAAGAAGAAGAAAAGTTAATAGCCCCACTGTACAGCAGTATTGTCTCAGTCCCTGCCTCTGCAAGATGTATTTTACAATATGTGCCATATTCCCACCTCCTACAGCCCAATGGTTCACACAGAGTGCACTAAAACTAAAAAAAATCTGGTATTTACCATTGCAATCACACATCTGAACCACAGACCTTCCCTGCTCTGTGAAATAGGATGTTCTCTTCATTCCTACTCTTCCAAGCTTGTTCCAAATGTGATTCAAATCACGTGCTAAACATTAAACTTATAAAAAAWTAGCTATTCAATGTATACACATGTAGCACTGAGAAGAGAATCAAAATTTTTTAATTCAGCCCTTCAAACCATTGCACAACTGATATTTTTCACTCTGTACTAACAGCACAGCATTTATCTGTTGTGCACAGGCCATTGCAGGGCAGTGCTCTCCRATGCAATCAGAGCTACACCACACTGCAGTTATCCTCAGCAACGGTGTGGGTCTGAAATAATTCAGGCTATTTGCATCAACATGTTGTTGCCTTGAAAGGCCAGYTTTTAATAATGACACAGACATGGTTAAGGAGATGAAAAGGGTTTTACCTCGGTATTTGGGATCCCAGGTACACAACTTGATGGCAGAATGCACACCCGTGTACAGCACGGGTACAAGTTTTATAGGTTTCAGGAATTAGCATATCTATCTAGAATTCCCCAATTAAGAAACTTAACAAATGCAGTAATGTCCCCCTATTCTAATGAATCTCTCCCCATATGAGGCCAGAGCCCAGTTTATACAAGATGTTCTGGACAGAAGGCTTCACCCAAGGCTGGAGCCTCGGGTTTAAGATAGCACAGGGCACACTGACTCCTTCCTCAGGATGTTTGGTCTCTMTGCCCAGCAGAACTCCTAAACTAAGCTGGAATATCAAGCTTCAGGAATTACAAGCRTGYRGGCTAAGGRSTATAGGTGKATGCATAGAGGGTAGAGAAGYGTAAAAGGAAAAGCAAAAATCATCAGGCATCAATGTAWAATGTGACACATTATAAATCACATCATGCACTATGGTTCAACATGAGGCCAGCACTAAATGCTCTACACRGATGACATACTGGTAAGYTAAAAGGAATTCAACTCAAGAAACMATGTGTGGAAGAGCACACGTTTTGGAAGTCATCAATGTGGCATGACGCTGTAATACTGGCTAAGCASACTGTAACAATATCCTAGGAGGTGGTCTTGTCCTTAACCATTTTCCCTTTCCTGGGAAAACAGGAGGACACAGGGTGTGCAAAAATAGCCTAGAGTGCTTTTAAGAACAACCTCAATTCAATGGATTCCTGTGTGGGAGGAAAAGAGAGGAGTTTTCTTTTAATGCTTTCAATACACATTAGGAAAAAAAGTTCAGAAGTTAGCTAAGTGAATCGACRTGTTTGGATGTGGCTTTCTAAAGAATGGACAGTGACGAACAAAGACCAGCGTAACCCCTTAGGAATGAGAAGCTGGCTAAAAAAGAACAGCCTGGGAATTTTTGGGGGCAGTTACAGCATTAGTGATGAGCCCACCAGTGACCAATGGCCACACATGTTCGTGACACACTTCAAACTGTACCAGCTGGTACAACACAGAGGGACAGATGCTTTTGGTGGAGACAAACCTCAGGCTGCCTCCAAACAGATTGCTGCTCATGTGGACTGAGGTTCACAGGGAGGTTCACAGTGGTGGAAAACAGAAAAAAAATACAGATGAGGGTAAAGACRGGGATGTTATGTCTCTGATACCCTAGTTAACAGCTCAAATTCATACCTGAAGAGAGATCTAGCCAATAAGAAATATATAGGAGAGAAAATAMGGTCGTCTCCAAAGGAACTGGTTTGAAAAATGCCTGGCTCAYATGAGATCATGCAAAGAGATAATGCAGCATGAAAAAAGATAAATTAGGTCTCCTAAGAAATATTTAGTTGCTTAAAGAAAGATGTGTTACTTAAAAAGGGGTTTTAAAGGAAAGGTGTGGAGGTCACAGAAGAGAGAGCAGGAGAGAGCAGCTGCCGCTCCCGTCCACAGCAAAATAAAAAATGCCAGAGAAACTGGCCTATTTTCCCTGCAAAGGAGAAGGGAGCTGTGTTCCGGAGCAATGCCCTGGTGGGGTGGCGGTGGGCTTTCCCAGCAGCAGGAGCAGCTCCTGCGGGGCCGTGTCCCCCGCTCGGTGCGAGCGCAGGGCAGGGCTCTGCTCCCCCCGGCAGCAGGGCAGCCACGCTGACCCGGCACCGAGCGCAGCGCAGCGGGGAGCTGTCCCTTGGCTGTCCCTTGGCTGTCCCCTGCTCCCAGGGTTCACGGAGGGTCACGGTGCACAGAGCCTGGCACTCAGAATAGACACTGGGCTGCAGCTTGCGCTGAATGGAGCATCGCACCGGCCCCTGCATCCCCCGGGAGCTCAGCGAGCGCGCAGTGCACAAAAGCTGCTTTGTCTGCTCCGGCTCGAGTGGACACCTGTAGCTGATCCAGCCTGAAAACTGCAGGTACTCCAGCTCCCACAGAGAGCACAGGACAGAGCTATAAACACATGCAACTTGAGGTCCAGCGTTCCTTTTCTCTGTYCCCCCTCCTCCCCTTCCCCTTCAAAGAAGGATAACCGAGCTCTGCAGCTCAGGAAAAGAAGAAGGACCCCCTGCCTGGATCCTAAAGCTCCTACGCTTTTGGATGCACCTGAAATAGCATTTGTACTGTATTGCAGCAAGGCTCTTTAAACCTCTGCTGGTAAGTTTCTGAAATCCTATTCATTTATGTTATCCCAGCTTGAGTGCCTGCCTGTGGTGTTTGTAACTGACTTAGCTTAATCTAAGCAGATTTAGCACTAATAACTAGAGCTCACTAATGCATATTGCAATTATGTATCACACTGGGAAATCCTGTCCCCCAAGCAAAAACATTGCTGCCTCCCAGTAGTGGGAGCAACTAATACTAATCTAAAAAGATCCCCAGATGTTCCAGACACTGCTCCCTCCCATTCACAAGTAACCTCTTCTACAGCATYCAAGGAGGCAAAGCCTAAGCAGCATGTTTTATTCCAGTTTTAATGATACRTGGATTTAATTCAGGATTCCCAATAACACTCCCACTGAACTTTCACATTTGTCCTCCATCCATCCTCTCCACAGAGAATGCTCTTCATCRGAAGCAGCTGCTCCCCATTTGCTCTTTATGAAGCATATGAGATAACAAAAATGTTTAAAGGGGATTTTTGCCCTACTCAGAACAAAATTACTTTTCTGTCTGTCATAAACTAAAGGAAGTGAGTCTGAAAGGAAGAATTACACAGTAACAAGCTCCAAAGGTTGCAAGAATAAACTGGTGARTTGAAGACTGCTTCTACGTAACCTCAAGTATTCCCCTTTTTATTTTTTTAGCTGTTTCATGTGATGCATCCTGGCTGGTTACATACTGCACGTGTGCATCTGATGATTGATGGGAGAGCTGACATCAATKTCAATCTCTGCTAAGCTCTACTGTTCCACCACTACAGGAAATCAGGCACGCATGCTTCCTGGACACAGAACAGCACCACACGTAAAGCACTGATATATGTACAACAGCTCAGTTTTGTTCAAAACCATTATCAAAATATCTCTGGGCTGGTCAGCAGGTCAGTGTGACTGATCTGTGCTTCCTAGCATGGATGAAATCAGGTCTGTGCTGTGCCTGCTGGACAATTCAACAAAAATACCATTCTCAGCCCACTCTTGATCCTTAACAAYAGGGGAAAAGGACATTAACACAGGAGCTTGGGTCTAATATTAACGATCATGCAGCTTGAAGGGCAAGGTCCAGGTTAATTCCACTGAACTGTGAGTATTTTGCCAAGACTTCTAAAATCAGCAGCCACATTATCCCAGACTTCCTCTATAATCAAAGGAAAGCTATACCTAGTTCCAGAATGCTATTTAGCTGAGCTGTTTTTCCTCCTGAATGTGCCTGCTCTCCCTGCTGACTGCTAGAAGGGCCCTCAGGCAGTAACTCAGTACTACAGAAAAACAGATAAAGTCTGGAACTGAGCATGGAGTAACACAGCATCTCCCTTAACTTTTATAGGAACAGGAAAAGCTGAGAAGAAAAATATCAAGTCAACGTATATCTTGAATTAATGACAGGTGACTATAATTTGAAATACAGTGCAAAGAACAATCAGAAAATAAGAAGCAACAGTAGTCAGGAAAAATCCTCTCTCCCATGTATGTGATTTGTCTCTAAGGGGCACGTTCTTGCTCTGTCACAGAGAAAGGCTGCTGAACAAAACCTGGGAGCATCTCCCTCTCTGAGAATATTGGTCTTTACAGCTCAAATAAACTCAGTCAAAATATAAACCCATCCAAATTAACCAAAACCACTCTCTTTGACCACAGGGCATCCTGCCTCCACTCCATGCCAGCTGCAGGTGTTATCTGCCACATACTAATGGCTGAGAAATGCCACCCAGGCACGGTCCCTTGCTATCCACCCTTTGTAAACCCACAGCAGCAAAATAAATTAACTGCACAGGCTCAAGGGAGATTAAGCCTTCCAATACACCTCCAACCTAAAGCTGGCTCCCAGGACAGCAAGTACAGTTTAATTAGGCAGCTCTATGGGGTGATCTGTGTGAAAGGAGCTCCAGATCCCAGTGACTCTTCTCCCGATGCAGCTGTGTCCTGATGGCCTGATGCACTCTGAGGACTGACCACCCTCATCCTCCCGAGGAGCAGAATGCTTTATTAGCAGGGAAACAGGCTGTGTGTGTGGTTTTGCTACCTGTGAAAGCACTTGTTCTGTGAAGAGTGAAAATGTCACTCTCAGGTGCTGTGAATATCATAAACACTGCAAATATTACAAAGTAAAGCCAAGCTGCCTTTATTACCATCACTTCGGCACATGTCACCCCTGAAGTGCTGAGCAAACACACTCTCATATGGAAATTCACTATTTTGTCCTAGAGGTTGTTAATGAAGTTTTATAAGTAATGCTGCTGAAATACCTGGCAATTATTCCTGGCAAGTCATCTCTGCTCAAGGAAGATGCTGTAGGCTTCTCAGTTTACCTCYTTGATTTTCATCTTCCTCCCTGTGAGCTACGACTCACAACTCACCCTTAAGGAATTTGTTTTATACCAATATTAGAGAGGCAAAGGAAAATAAAGACCCTCATGGAGAAAGTTTTTTTTTCCTCAAAGTTTACAGAAGCACATCAACACATGATAAACACACCTGAACAAAGTTTGTATTTTAGAAGATAACCTTGTTGCAGCCTGTGCTGTAATTTTAGGGGTTTTGAAATCCTTGTCATGAAACAATTTCATTCTTYTAAAGAGAGTACTTACCCAAGTGAATAGAGACGGCATTGCTTGCTTCTGATTCGATGGATGAGGCTAAACCTYTCATCAAGACAGATTGACCAGGGCTTTTTTGTGGTTTCAGAGTACCCTTTCAAGCTGTTCAGGTTCATGTGTTCACATGAAATCTGTTGAAATCAAAGGATATTTCATCCTAAGATACGAGTTTTATTTTGTTAATTTGCCTTCTGGGGGAAAAGTGGAAAAAAAAAAGTATGTTCCTTGGTTTAATTTAAGTCTTACTGTCAATCTGATACATGGCTACAAAGATTTAATGATTTTTTTCCCTTGTTTGTCTGTTCTGCTTGGTRAAACTTAAGGCTTATGTAATTCCCCAGAGAGCAATGCAGTTTGAAAAGCAAATAATTAACCATTAGTACTATACCCAGATTCATTTTTCCACATGGAAAAGATGTTCCAGCATTCACATATTTATTTTTTTTTTCTTTTCAGACCTTAGAGTGGATTCTGCATCCTGAATAAAGTTAAAATCAATTACAAGTTGCAGAGCCTCTGCAATGTGTACCTCACCCAGAGTGTCCTGGATCTCAGCTCCAGAAGGGATTTAATCACTACCCCAACACATGCCCTCTCCAACAACAAAGGGATTTAAGCAAGTGCTTAACTAAACAGAGGAATCATAGCATGTGTGTCTGCACTGTGCTGGCTTAGACATCTAGAGGCTAAAGCCAGGATCAGAACCCTGCAAAAGACGAGAGAGAGACCCTGCAGGGAGGAGCACTGGAAGTCAAAACCCTTGGACRCACCAAGAGAGCAAAGACTGAAAACGCACTGGATTCATCAGAAACCTGGACATGTCAAACGTCACTTAACTGAGGGGTGAAGTCACCTTTGCCAGCAGCTGAGCAGCAGCCTGGAACAGCCAACCCTGCAGTGRCTGAGCCAGCAAAGCCACGGCCCGGTGAGTGACACCCTGCCCGAAGCACCAGCTCTGCCTGCCCATCCAGCGCTCAGGCCAGCATTTCACACCCAGGCCAAAACATTCTGCACCATCCTCTTCCTCCAGACCCACTCTGGAACAGGCAGGCATGGAGCTGAGARCACTGCACCCTTTCCAGAGCACAGGAGTTGGAGAACAGCTCTCGATGGAGAGCGGTGCAATTTGCACGGCTGTCACTGTGGCAGTGATAAGGAGGCAAGGGAAAGCAGAAGGAAGCACCAAAACTGTGGCTACTTCTGTCCAGGAAAGGCTGTGCTGCTCTGCAGCAGCATCAACACCCACAGATTGCTCTTGAAGGGCTTTTCAAACCATACAGCCCAGCCATCAAGCTCAGGTGTTGCAGGCACAGGTTCCTGACATGCAGATAAGAGACCAAAGACTGAGAAGAGCTGCAGGAAGCCRRCTGAGCCATCATGATGAAAAGTTGYTCTTTGGGTCCAATACCACCCCCAGCTGCAGGAAKGGGAGCTACTGAAYGAGTGTGCTTGAGATCACCCAAAAAAGGAACAGAAAGGCAGCAACTAAAATGGTGGAAAGAACAGTAGTAGAGAGAAAAGGAGGTTACACAGACAGTTCTCATCTTGCTCCTTCCTTCCTYCATAGCAGACTGCAGAGGCTTAGCTCTCAGTCTTAGGCAAACTAAAAAGCATAGCTCTGGTCCCACCTGGAACCACAGAAATGAAACAATTTTGCACAGGGGGGAGAATAAAGCCTGGAACCCAGCCTTCAATGTGGTAAGCACTCTCCACCATGTACCTTATAATAAGTAAATAAAACTCTCATGCTCTAAGAAGCTTATGCTCTGAAAGATCTTTACCTGGATCATTACCATCACATTCAAAGAGCTGCACAATGCATCACCTCCTCCCTGCTCCTGCTTGGCTCATAATTCCCATGGAAAATTCATAAAAGCCAATATGGTATCTCTTCATGCTGTTCTCAGGATTCACTAAATTTTAAGCAATGATTTGCACTGCACCCCACTACCCATTTCCCTTCAGTCACATAACAATCAAGGAATAAATGGCATTGCAATAAGAAGCACTAATTTAAGACACAGAAGAATAATGTACTCTCTACAGAAAACTAAGATTCTGCAATGCTGCCACTTAATTGACTCATGGCATTATGAGCAATTACAACAGTCAGAGTTTGGAGCAATTTTAACAGCTCTTGCTACTTAATAGCTCTTGCTATCAAAAATTAAAAAAAAAAAAAAAACAAACCAACAAATCCAAACCCTGAACCTGCCTTTAGCACCATCATCAGTCTGTTTTATGATTTACTGATGCACTGAGCTTACATCCTGTGAGCTCACATTCTGCTCACTCCTGTCACACAAACAACAGCACAAGAAGGATGCTTCTTCTGATCATCAAATACCAGCACTGAAGGAGCTTTTTCTGGCCACACCTCGACCCTGCTGACATGAGACCTTCCAGCTCTAGCAGTTTGAGCCATTCTACACTAATAGCATGGGGCTGAACTCAGGCACAGCAATTCGTAGACCCTTGCTCAGCAAACAAGAAAAATTACAYCCCATGCTCATCGACATAAGCAGGATCCCATTTTCAGAAGTGCTCACACCAGTCACGGTGTTATCCCACMAGTTATTCATCTTGTAACATCTGCCAGGTCAGGAACAGGGATTCCTCTCATTTTTTGTTTCCACTTATGCTTATTCCCCCAAAAAAGGGTCGGTTACTCTGGGAACGAAACTTCTCGCTGAGTGTGTCAAAAGCAATAAACTCTCCGTTAATTGATGTCCTTGTAGGCTTTGACCCAACCAGTGGAGTTTAGCAGCATCTGCCACTGTTTATTATGTCACTGAGATGAAGGATGTTTCCAAGCTTAGTATGTTTGCTGCAGTCTAAACTTCTGTACAGCAAAACAAGCAGCTCTGCACAGATCCCTTGCTGTCCCCACATGCATCATCTTGCCTCCTGCCCTCTCAGGGTTGGCATGAGTGGCAGCAGAGATTCATTTCATTGAGAATTTAGCCAGAGTACCCACGAGCTGGAGGATACACGAACATTATGCTATCCTCTTTTTCTAAAGGTGTTTCAAATTAATCTCATCTCAGCACTGAAAGCACTGCATTAACAAAGAATGTCATAGGTGCATGGTATTTCAGTGATATTGGCACCTGGGGCTTCTTGCTGTTCTTCAGTGTGAGTAATGATGCTGCTAACTCTGTATTCAAGGGTCAACTGCTGATAGACCAGGGTACCAACAGCAGCTGCCCTATTGGAATTGTGAGCATCCAGAACCTTTTCCATTTTTTTTATTACAGGAAATGCTTGCACAAATGCTGTGTGTGTAACTGATCCTCTGTTAAGACATGATGGCCCAATTTCCGTATATGCTGAATGCTGGAAATATCCATCAACCCACTCAGAATTTGGAAAAGCCATATTTTAAAAAGTAAATAAAACTAATTTTCACGGTCATAATTTTTGCCCTGAAAATATCAAGATTCTATTGGTATCATTGAAACAACTTGTCCAAGTTAGAGTCTGATGCCTCGTTCTCATTTTACTGGGAACCTCAAATGCCTCCTTTTGAAGTAAAATGAGCCTGGTTATCATATTATTATTGAGAGATGGAGTGGTTGAATACACTCTCTTGATACAGAGTGCTCTGTATTTTTCCATCTGAGAGGGAGAAAGGGCAGAGAGAGAGAAACACCACATCTAGAATTTCAGTCATACCATACTCCTGTCAGGAMACAAACCCAGCTGGAAATAAATAGCATGGAAATAATGGATTCTTTCTAACTTGTGTTTTGACTTTTGTATTCACACTGACCATCAGCGCTAGGTTAAGCAACTTTAGAAATAAAGCAGCTTCAACAGAAGTTTGGTGAGAGGTTAATTCCTTAGATTCAAGGGAAAAATCTGCGCCAGACAAAGTGTTTTCTAATAGGAGACTGAAACAGAAAACCTACCTGAGAAGTGCTAATGTACTTTAGGAACCTCGAGGCCTCATAGTTGAGGGAAGGGGTTGGGCTTGCCCATGGTTGCAGTTCAATGTGCCATCTTAGCGTCTGTAAAACAAAGCAAAACAAAAAAMACCTTAAAGGCAGCGTGAGCATSAATTACAAGGGCTAATAAACTAAGGAGATTTAATTTCAAACAAAAWGAATCTACTGGGGGCTTGTCTGCACATGAAAAACATTTTAGAATAAAGCAGGGTTTAAACTACAGTGAAAGAGCATCTAACTGTGATTTATAATGATCAGGTTTGAAAGCAGATGTAGGTAATTCAGAAAGTACTCCTCACCTAGGATACGTTTGAACCCAGTTATTCCAGGACACCCAAGTAATGCATGAAGAAAACCAAGATCTGAGTAACCAAATCCTCTAGCAAAACATCTCAAAACAGTGAATATCTACCAGGTATCAAATTTTATATATATATCAGGTATCTCTGCTTGATTGACCACTGCAATAAGGACTTGGATTGCAAACACTAATCACCAAAGGAAATCCCTTCAAACAATCTGTTTTCTTTATTGACATCTAGATTTTATAGAAAAACAAGCTTCTTGTTTTGGGAAAAGCCCCCTTCCTCTCCCACACTTGCCTGACAGGTACACCAGAATTCTTTGTTTCCCTGAAAAAAYTGAAGTGCAGCTGCCTGTAGCCCTACCACTCCTCATTTTCGTAGCGCCCAAGAAGTAGCTTTGGTGAGTGCTTTCTGCATCCCCTGCAAGTTCCCTGAGCTCTGAACCTCGGGGATCCTGTCAGCTTTTCCAGAAACACTTCCCACACAGAGTGGGCCAGAAAAGGTTTGTCAGGCACGTGCTTGCAGAGCAGCGGGGCTCTGTGCTCCCATCTGCGCCACCTTCTCCAAATTCTGCCCGCTGTCACGCTGGGAAGTTTAGACTTGTCATCTCTTGCCCTCAAGTAGATAAAAATACAAGCACAGTGTTAAGCTGTACTAAATTAAGATTGATTCCTCGTGGCTTTTCATCTTCCGGCGCCATAACTCACTTCTACGGTTGGGCAGRTAGTATCAAGCTTCCCTTTAATCATCCTCAATTAACTGAGCTTCCATAATGGACAGGATGGGGTTTCTCCCTCAAAGGCTCATGCTGACATTCAATAAAACACAATCAGAAACCCTACTCAGGATTCCCACAGGATTTTATTTTAAAAGAAGCGCTGGAAAACATGCAGGAAACAGCAATTAGCCGGAGAGGATGGAGGCAGATCAGTGAGGTGAGGCACTGAGCCCCCAGACAGGACTGCTCTGTGGCACCAGGAGAGCCAGCACAGTGACAGCAGGGACCCTCTATAGCCAGACAGGAATGCAGGGAAGAGAAGGTAAAATTAGAAAAGAAACATTGTTGAAGAGGACCACCAGACCGGATGGCGTTTGCCTTGAGCTGATACCATGAACTGATTTTTTTACTAAGTAAACATAGCCTAGAGTGAATGTGAGCCAGGAGGTCTGTATGAGGTTTATTGTTCCTTTAGGGGTTATTTTTCAGATTTCTTGTATTTTGGGTTTGGGGTTTTTTTACTGTAAAGGGATACTGAAAAGGATATTGTGATTTTTTTTTTTTCTCACCCTGAAACTTCCTGCCTGCAGCAAACTTGGACTCCTACACTGTGCACAGCATGAGCCTGGAAGCAAGCTGGCAAGCAAGCTCTGCAGCAGCATGCCCCCCTGACCCCTGCTTGCAGCAGGCAGCCCGCAAACAGCGAGCAGCAGGAGGATAGGTGCACACCAGGGAGGGAAATGCGTGTAATCTTTCAGAATGAGTCACAGTTCACACGGCTGAATAACGTTTGCAATGACAGGAATGCTGCTGTTTCAACAGGCTTGAGAGCTGAAATGAAAATGAAGACTGACAATCGTTTTCGGGGGGGGG